ACCCAGCATGTAGGTGCCGGGCGGCTGCCATGAACCCCGGAGCCATGAGGATCCACAGCAAAGGCTATGTCCAGGGTAGGAAGCCCCCCCTCCTCCTGCGTCCCTTTAATGGTTTCCTCCCTCCGCTTCCACCATGGATGCTTTGTGGCGTCCTCCCTTCGGGTCCCTGCTGCTTTCCTGGCGTGTGTGTCCTCTGTGGCCTAAAAGGAAGGTTTATTCGGTTCAGGGTTTTGCCTCAAAAAGGGAACGGATCTCGGCGCAGCCCTGGCGCTCTCCACGCCCCTAACCGCGGCCCCCAAATGCTGGGGCGCCCGTGTTTAAAACCCGAGAATAGTGGGCGCACCCGGGGCCTCGCCGGGGCGCCGACGGAGGCTGCGGCGCGACCCTCGGTGGAGAGGCGGGCGTTCCTGGCTTACGGCTTCCTGATTGAAGGGGGTGGGAGGGGGATCTTGGTCCCATTCTTCTATGTTCTTCCCTCACGAAGCTATAAGTGTGTGTACTTTAAACCCACCATCAGATAAACTTCCGTTTTCAGTCTTTCTTACTCTGTATATATTATACACGCTAGTGACCTCCAACTTACGGACAGATTGTGTTCTGAAAGTTAATTTGAAAGCGGCTTGGAAATAGTGAGATGAACGTTGACTCGGGGCCTCATGTAGTTCTCCACCGAGAGGTGACTCTCGATGAGCTAAACCTCGCGCGGTGCGGGATCTCTGAGGACCAGGTCCTTCGTGGAACCAGGGTTCTTGCATTGCTACGTGTTTAACTTTTTTTTTTAATTAAAAAAGTGTGTTTTTATTGACTTTAGATAGGGAGGAGCGGAGACAGCTGAAAGGAGAGGGGGTGAGAGATGGGAACATGGATCCCTGCCCCATGCAGGGCTCCCACCCGGGACGAAGCCCACACGCGCCGCTGGGAGTCCCCTGGCGACCCCTGGGCGCGCTCAGCCCAGAGCCCATAGCCGCACTGGAGCCCCCAGAGCCTCACTGAAGCCCATAGCTGCACTGGAGCCCCATATCCGTACTGGAGCCACCCAGCCACACTGGAGCACCATAGCCGCACTAGAGCCCCCAGAGCCTCACTGGAGCCCCCCAGCCGCACTGGAGCACCATAGCTGCACTGGAGCCCAGAGCCGCACTGGAGCCCCCAGAGCTGCACGGGAGCCCATAGCTGTACTGGAGCCCCATATCCGCACTGGAGCCCATAGCTGCACTGGAGCCCCATATCTGTACTGGAGCCCCCAGCCGCATTGGAGCCCCAGAGCCGCACTGGAGCACCATAGCCGCACTAGAGCCCCCAGAGCCTCACTGGAGCCCCCCAGCCGCACTGGAGCACCATAGCTGCACTGGAGCCCAGAGCCGCACTGAAGCCCCCAGAGCCGCACTGGAGCCCATAGCTGTACTGGAGCCCCATATCCACACTGGAGCCCATAGCTGCACTGGAGCCCCCCAGCCACATGAGCCCCCTAGCCGCACTGGAGCACCATAGCTGCACCGCACTGGAGCCCCCTAGCCACACTGGAGCACCATAGCTGCACTGCACTGGAGCCCCCTAGCCGCACTGGGGCACCATAGCTGTGCTGCACTGGAGCCCCATATCCGCACTGGAGCCCCCTAGCCTCACTGGAGCCCCCTAGCCACACTGGAGCCCGTAGCCGCACTGCACTGGAGCCCCATAGCTGCACTGTTGGGGCCAAACATTTAGCATTTAAGTACCTGTTTTGAGTGTTCAGCAGAAAGGCAAAGCTCCAGAAATAGTTTGTTGAGTAAATACCCCATGAAGTTTGCATTTTAGGAGGAGGAAAATCTTTCAATAAGGTTTTATGTACTGGTTCCCTACCTTCATACATAAAACATAAACGCGTGAATATTTATTTCCTTCAGACTCAGATATGGGCTGTAAACAATCCTTGCTTTGCAATTACAGGTTCGGTTAAACTGTACTTTCCCATCATCTTAAGTGGGACCACAAAGAAATAGGGCTTGAATGGGTGGGATAAAGATTTTCCCCTCTGTGGTATGATTAGTGTGTACAAAACTGTTTTTAAAAGATCATAATTCTTTTTGTCTGCAGAAAACATCTAATTCTAAATGTTTAAACAATAGGTGGAATCCAACTCAAAAATGAAAAGAACAGACCATCTCTGAAATCTCTGAAAACTCTTAACAAACCAGAAAAATCCAAATGTAAGCCACTTTGGGGAAAGATATTTTACATCGACTTACCATCTGTCACCATTTCTGAAAAACTGCAAAAGGACATTAAGGATCTAGGAGGGGTAAGTCAGAATTATACACTGGAAAAAAGGAAAAATTTGTAATTAGTACTTTTTAATATATAATCGTTTAAAATGCCATTTTGGAGAACATCATTAGTACCAAGTGCAAACTTTTTATATCATTAATGGAAAACTATCTGTTTTAACCTTTGTAGCCTAGTAAAACTTTCAGTTTTCTATGATTATTAGTTTAAATAATTAGTGTAAAGTTCACAAAGTGCGAAGTGAGGTGAGACTCCCTTGTCCTGGTGGAACTGCTAATTGTCTTTCCATTGTAATGCTGGATGTCTTCCCCTTACCAGGAACTCCTTGCTTATGATTATTGGAGAGCTACAGAAATTTGTCTAGATTAGCAAACAAAGAATGTTATTTACAGAACCAGGAAAACCTAAGAAGTAAAATTGCTCTTGAGTGATGAGTCTCAGCACAATGAATGTCATTAAGGGAACAGAATTTTGGATTAAGAACTTGGAAAACCTGTTTCTTTTCTATGCTATACATTGAGTAAATGATTAGGAAATTAGAAAATCTGGGTAAAATTCTACGATTTTCTTGGGCTTAAGGTTAATTAATATCAGGTAAATTTTAGCAAGTAAGTCTAAAATTTCATTAATTTACTAGAGGCCTGGTGCACAAAATTTTGTGCACTCGGGGGGGGGGGGGGAAGGGGTCCCTCAGCCCGGCCTGCGCCCATTCACAGTTCAGGACCCCTTGGTGGATGTCCCCCTGTCAACTTAGGCCCACTCCCCAAGGGATCAGGCCTAAGCTTGCAGTCAGACATCCTTCTGGCAGCCAGGGAGCCCTCGGGGGATGTCCGACTAAAGGCTTAGGTCCCCAAGGGATCGGGTCTAAATCGTTAGTTGGACATTCTTAGTGCTACCACGGAGGTGGGAGAGGCTCCTGCCACCACCACTGCGCTGGCCAGCCATGAGCCAGCTTCTGGCTGAGTGGCACCCCCATGTGGAAGTGCACTGACCACCAGGGGGCACCTCCTGCATTGAGCGTCTGCCCCCTGGTGGCCAGTGCGCATTGTAGCAACCGGTCATTCTGCCGTTCAGTCAATGTGCATATTAGCATTTTATTATTTTATTCATTTATTTCCTAATTCTTCCTGTTTAAAAGATCTCTGCTGCACTTAGAATTTGTTAAGGTTAACATCTTGAACAGATCCTGTCTTTCCCGGAGTAGATATTTGCAGAAGCACAAGTAACAAGTTTACTGGAATTATTTATTATTGTGATGTTTTACTTACCTATCCTTGAAAAGCTATTTTATTTTTTGCTATTCATTTTCTTAAGACATTGAACACATTTTGTCATAGTATCCTATATCATAATAACCATATGATTATATTCCTAAAAGTCATGTTTTATATAAGCCTGCTACCAAGTTGACTGGACCACCTATCAAGAGTGTCTTAATTTTTTAAGGACCTTAGACATTGAGTAAAGACCCCCTTATTTTAGAAATTATATATTTAAGGATCAGGAGAAGGTAAATGACTGGCCTAGCGTTGAATTAACCTCTGATTCCAATGCTGCTGCACAATTCTGTTTCTCTAGCAATTAATGGTTACAAAAAAACTATCTTACACAGTTTTGCAGCTTTCTCATGTGTGATGAATTACCATTAGCCCCTCTGATCTAAATCTGTGACTTTAGATTTGTGTTTTTAGCAATGGAACACTTCAGATGAAATCATATTCAGATGTCCAAAGTGTAAAGCCAGTAGAAAGGGAACTGCTCTAGCTAAAACAGCAGTATAGTAGCTAGTGCTGGGACTGCTGCCCTGTCCCCCTTTTTCTCTCCTTTCACCCCTCCCTATCCGTTCCTAAGGCACTTGGAAGAAATTTTGAATTAATTTATGCATTTGATAATATAGACTTATTAACTTGATTCCTTAATTCCTTTTCAGGAAAAAAAAATGTTTTTATCAAATTCTGATCTCTCCATAGACTATCTTTCCAATAATTTAGTGATGTCCTTATTTCTGTCTCTAGCACATTACTACTTCTACCACTGAAAAAAGACTGTTAAGATCTCTAGTGAATTATTAAGGAACTTTGACCTCTAGACACTAATTTAAGAGTTTTAGGATTCAACTTTAAGTACCAGTTAGTTGAATTAGATATTATTTAAAATTCTTTGCTTATTTAATGTTTTAGGATTACTTAGGCCTTTTTTTTTATAATTAATCTTGCTTCAGATTAGTACCATCTTTGTCCTTTAATTGTCCACTTTATGCATTTGTTTTCTCTAGTCTTAATGAAAACCTCTAAATACCCCATTTTTCTGGAGAGTGCACTTCTGACAAATTCAACCATAAAGAGCACGGCAATGAAGTCTGACATAATGGGGAAATATCTTTAATTGTGGCAAAGAAAGTAACTGTTACAAAACCATCTAAAAAGGATATGGATCCAGCCACATTTAAGTCATGTCTAAACATTGTGGACTAAAATAGGGCAGTTGGAGAAGAAGAAAGATATAAGGGCAGATACCTGGCCATATCATGAACTTGAAGACAGTTACTTGTTTGATGTTTATTGTGACATTGAGTCATAAAAAAATAGAAATTGCTAATAAATTGAAGACCATGATAAAACTAAGTCAGCAGTACAGGGCATAGTATATTAAGTGTTTTGTTACAGTCTAAAATGAATCCTATGCCCATCTTCCCTCAGCTAGGTAGAGATGGTATGGTTGCAATTATTTTAATACAACATAGAAGGTCAAGAAGAGGGGAAGATTGCAGCCAACTAAAGAATCTTGCAAGCCATTTTACAGACACAATTTGAACTCTGCTTTGAAAAAATGATTATGATTTGGATGTGGAAATTCATTCAGAAATTATTCCACCAGTGTCTCCCATATGCCAGCACTATTTTAGATGCTGGAGATGCAAAAATAAGTTAAGAGGTAGTCTAGTTCTATAGGAATTTTTATTCTATGGGAACATCAGTCACCTAAATAAATAATTAACAGCATAGTATTATGAATACTTTAACAGAAACTATGTAGAAATTGCCATTAGAATATAGAGATGGAAATGATTGGTTCTGCCTTTAGAAATTATACGAGAGAGAAAGTTTGAGCTGAGTTTTGAAAGCCTGGTAATATACCAGAATGAACAAACTTCAGTAGAGGAAAGAATACATTCAAACAAATTTCAGTGTGGTTTGTTCGAGCAGTAGCTAATATACCACTAGAGACCCGGTGCACAAAATTTGTGCACAGGGGTGGGGGGGCGTCCCTCAGCCCGGCCTGCACCCTCTCACAATCCAGGACTGCTGGCTCCTAACCACTTGCCTGCCTGATTACCCCCAACCACTTTGCCTGAGCATCCCTAAGTGTTTGCCTGCCTGCCTGATAACCCCTAACCACCTCTGCCTCAGCCCCTGCTGCAGCAGCTTTGTCCAGAATGACATCCGGAAGCTTATTTGGCTGTCTAGTCTAATTAGCATATTATGCTTTTATTATTATAGATTACTTGAATTTGGGATTTAGATAAGGAAAATGGCAAGAAACTGTTATTTAGGGGCCAAATTATAAATGATACTTTATTCGCTACTAAAGAGTTGTAACTCAAGCTATAGGAAATGGAAAACCAAGAGAAAGTGTAGTATTAGCATAAGGGCAGACATGTAGACCATTGTAATAGAAAGACCAGAAATCAGTCATCATATATAGGTTGCCAAGATCATTTAGTAGG